TTGTACGACGCTAAGTGAGTTTGTGCGAAAATAAAAAAGCAATTCATCAAAGACGTACTTTATGTGTTTCTGCATACAGATAGAATCTTGACAATCTGTAAAGGGACTTGTAGTGTTGCGGGAACCGTGTAAGACAGAGTTTCATAGCCTCATACAAAGATTGACTAATTTCAGGCGTTTTTCTTCATCACCAGGTGTAATGCCTTTATCAGTCTTGGTTGGTTTGGAAGTGTTGGCAGTCTTGGGTGACCCAGCACTACTAGCAGCAGGGGGAGGGGGAGGGGGAGGGGCACTGCCCAATTTTCCATCAATGTCACTGCTACTATCAGAGAGCACCAGTACAAGTTCTTCAAGTTCAAGCATTGACTGTATTTGTGGTTCTGTTTTATTTTTCATTTGTTCTATAAATTGTTCATTATCTTTCCACAATGCAATATCACCATCCTCAGATTGCTCCATCGGTTGTTCTGCATGTGGTCCTTGTGGAAACTGCTTGTCTGACTGTTTAATTCCCTGGGACTGGGTATCTGATTGCTGCAATGAATGTGTTTCTTTCTCTGGTTGATGAGTTAATTCATCCTGTTGTTCTTTCTTTGTCTCTTCCAGAAGTGATTCCAAATTCCGAAACACTTCCGTTTCCGGCTGCTGCAGTTCACTCAGCTGCAGCAACAGTTCGCCACACTGGTTCAGCATTTGTTGTTCGTCCATCTGTGGTTTGTCTTCATGTTTTGTTTGTTGTTTATCGCCTTGTCCGATCTCAGAGACAGCATGTTGTTTATCGCTTTGGCTGATCTCCGAGACAGCCTGTTGTTTCTCACCTTGGCCGATCTCAGAGACAACATGTTGTTTATCGCCTTGGCCGATTTCTGAGACAGCATGTTGTTTCTCACCTTGGCTGATCTCCGAAACAGTCTGTTGTTTATCGCCTTGGCTGGACTCAGCAATGACATGTTGTTTATTGCTTTGACTGGACTCAGAAATGTTCAATTTTGTTTTGGTATGACTCAATACGTAATCATGGTCCATGGGCGTGGCAGTGTATGTCGGTTTGCTGGAGTCCTGGATAGAATGCAAACTACTACTATCACTTTCCCTAAAATGAAGAAAAGAGTGTTACCATGGTGATACATATGCCCTTAGAGAAAGTGAAATTGATTAAATAAATCAAGTCAAAGACTTTAAGAAGATTATAAATGAAATTAAAGAAAGCTTAGAAAGATCTCCCATGTGCTGAGTGATATTGGAGGCATGTAGTACAAATAAGAAATACTGCATTTACTATTAGAATATATATAGTCATCATATCTCATTATAGCACTGATTGCAAGTCAGAAGTGCCTAATGCATTACAGTTATGCATAATAATGAGGTCACATGACCATATATGAACATGCTATGATAGTGTTATCGCTTGTCAAGTGCCTTCATCCTAGCACTGGTTTCATGTCACTGTCTGCAGCAGTGCTTAATACATTACAGTTATGCATAATAATTAGGTCACATGACCATATATGGTCATCTGATGCCCTATATCTCTTTTCAAATGCCTTCATTATCGCACTACTTGCATGTCCTAATCTGCAACATTGCTGAGATATTACAGTTATGCATATTAATGAGGTCACATGACCATACAACTTTTACAAAGTAGTTTATGAGATATCAGTGGAAAGGACACTTACATAATTTAAATTGCTACATTCATGACCAATTTAAATCAGTTTTTTTTCATTTTGATGAAACCCATCACTTACTTTTGGAGGCCTTTAGCAAAAGGACTGTTAGCAGCCTCTATTAGACAACGTTCCAGTGTCTGATAATCAATGCAATATTCTTTGTCATGTTCTTGTAATAGTTTTAATACAGCGGCATGGAGACGGTAATAAACCTGTCAACAAACATAGTGAAATAAACCATTATCAATAATATTTTTAAACAAAGAAAGATGTAGATAGATGGTAATTAATGGTATTACTTCAAATGCACCTTATCAAGGTTTTGTTCAGACAAAGTGTTCATTCTCAAATTGAACAAAATCGCATACTTAGTCCACACATAAACCAGAGGGGCATTTTGAATCAATTCACGAAACTAAAGGTTTTAATGAAGTTGGCCCAGGCATGCCTGAGAAACGTACAGGACAAAAGTGGCTGAAGATATCATCATGAAATGAACAATTAGAGAGAGGTCACCTGAAATACCTATGTGTATGATATCATTTCATTCAGACATGCAATTGTTAAGAAGTTGAAAATTAGGTAAACAATATGTACGGTTTCAATCCTAAATTGATCACTTCAATGGATTACCCTAGAGCACCTACAAAGTATGTATCTAGTTTCAATGAAATCTGATGAGTTGTCAATGGAAAATCTTAAAATTGACTAATTTATGCAAATTAGACAATTATTATACAAAGATTTCAACCAAACACTAAACAGTCCTATGGGATATCCTAGAGCATTTTTGTTCCAAATTTCATTGAATGCAATGATTAGTATTTGAGATATAATTGACTATTATGCAAATTAGGTATTTAACATGTGATAAAAAACTGCTACTTACTTCCAAAGCTTCCATGGCTAAGTCAGGTGGGTTATGATAATGTATCTTCTTTGGATAGCAAGCTTCATCATCATGTAGATGGCAACTAGCCTGAAAGTATGGACAAACATCAGATTTATAACAATGATGAAATGCTTATGAGAAAAATGTATTTGTTAACAAAGTCATGTGTTCAAATCATATGCTGCTGGTTGGTTAAAGCGACAATAGCTGTATCTATTACCCTTTTTTCTCTGATTTTTATTTTCATGAAAACATTTCCTGTGCTTTGCTAATATCCAGGTTTGACAAGTGACTTGACCCTTAGTTTTTACACATCACATTTTATGTGATTTTAGACTTGGGTCACTTTGTACATGTAGTTGTATCTAATACAATTTTTCAGTAAGATTTGGTCATCTTTATGTGATTATATTTAAACCGAAAAAATGTTCATAATATTGCTGCTTTTTCCAAATCTGTAGTGAAGTCTTCTTTACAACATCTCTCAAACATTCTCAAAGTATGTGTTTTTTACACACATTAAGGCTAGTGCTGTTAGACTTGCTAGAACAATTTTCAAATTCAAATAGTTCTAAGAAATACCTTTTTATAATATTCCAAGAACCCAAGCGGTTTATCTTTTTGTTTCTCTGCTATTTTTCCTAACATGTATTGTATTAACCATTCTTCCGCTTCACCGTCATCTTCACATTTATCGGCCGTTAAGAAGCATTTCTTCGCCAAACTCAGCATTTCATTCTTCTTGTTTGTCAGACACTGGATGGTTTCGGGAACCATTGACACCTGAGTTTTTTGCTATAAATACAAAGCTAGTCAGTTCTAAAAATAAACACATTTTTTTTGCAATTCTGTATATCGGTAAAGTGCGCCACCTATTGTAGAAACTTGAAATGTTTGTTTTGTATGTCATTTTAAAGACTTGAAAGCATTATTTAATTAATGTTAAACATTGAACATATATCTTGTTGTGATGGAATTAAATAATTTTAATACCAAAACATTTTAATTTTTACCGGGACCAGAAACTTTTACATGCCTCAGAATAGAATTCTATATATGCAGACAATAACTATAGACTGACTATTATATAGTCACTGTCGTCATGCCATGCATTCAAATTTGACACGCATTATATAAGCCACATGGTAGTCATAATAAACACAACACCAGATGACCACCACAGCATTTAAATCTGTTCACACCCATCATTTGCCAATCACAAAATATTGACACATAAATTTGTTGTAATCATCCATGCCATCCATGCTTACAGATTTTTATTTCAATTTTAAGGAATTCTTTTTTAAAAAGAAAAAATTTCATGATGTACTCTTTGACTGTGGTTATATGCTAATAATATTACTTTGTGTATCAAGGTTATTGATAGTCTAGAAAGATCTAAGACCCCATTCCAGTCAAGTTGCCAAATATGGTGCCTAACTTACTTAAAAAATTAACATACTCCTTTGGAGAGCACCATATATGGTAGAACCATTTATTTTCCATAATTTTGATGTTTTGAGCATAATCATTGTGTTTTAATCTCACAAATTTGTCAAAGAAAAAATGAGTTTTATTGTTATTTTCCATGTTCACATAGATTCAACTTAGCAGATTTGACTTATCAGTGAAAATAGTGAAATTACAACTCAGTGAATAATAAATGCCTTCACAGTACTGTCCACAGTGCCTTTCTATCACTAAAATACACCCACACCAATTTCCAATTAATATTAGAGTTGACAAAGATACCTACCTGTTTGAGTTGCCTTGAGAAATGTGAATGCAATGTGTATGCCAAAGACCCATATTCTATCCACAGTGTGTAGTTACTGGGGTCCACTTCTAGCGCCCTCTGGAAGCATCTTAACGCCAGTTGTGCATTCTTCTGCATAGATCCCTCATTTTTCACATCACACTGTATGTAAATACCATACAAGATCTTGACAATTTGAATTTGTTGATTAAGTTTTCAGTTAGAGGGACACATGGTTTCTGGCAATATTCTCTCTCAGCCAAGTATTTGTGGTTTTTTCTATTAATATAGTTTCCACATGTGTATGTTGCCATATCAAAACTGACACTGTGATACCATTGATCTTTGATCTCATTTAAATGTAAATTTCCTTATATTTTATTAGTATGGGTCTTTATGATACACAGAGTGAAAAAAAAAAGTTTACATGACGATTTCACATGGTAACAAAAAACAAGAATCCGAAAATTATATCTTCGTTTTTGCAATGGTGAATTAAAGTATTTTATTTTCATATCTAGGATTTTACAAAGCGAAAAATTCACTGTAATAATATGGCTACTGATTTTCATTTAATTTATTTTGAAATCTGGTTATAATTTTGTTTTATATTAAAGTGGAAATTATTACAATTTATTATGTATACCCCGGTAAATCACACAGACCAAACTTTAATTTATGCACATAATTATTCAGTTAACATTAATTCAGCCAATCATTACAAGACAAAATTACATTCAGTTTTAATCTCTGTGACATAATAAACAACTAAAAATATCAAAAAACGGCCAATTTGTTTTACATTCTGATTATGGATAATGATATAAAATAAAGATGTATTATAATTTTTATCATTTTATTGATCATAAATTTGGAAAAAGCTATTTCTTATTGATGAATACATTGATTACAGATACAGCATGACACCAATTTCACAGAGTGACATTATGAAATGATATGACAAATTTAGAAAATCAAAATTATATTGTAGTTTTTCCTGGTTTATATACCGGTAAATTATGGTTTTTTTTATATTATTTGGCAAACAATTTAAAATTGTAAAAAAAAACATATAGCATGTTATGTAACTTACCGAACTGAGTTTAGCTTCAAGGCGACTACTTCTTGCCAATGCCTGTCCTGCCCAGCTATCAAAACGATCAGGACAAACACAGATATCATGCATATAGAACTTGATGGCTTTACTGGAAAATAACAAGAAATCAAATCAATACCAAATCCCTTTTTTATACACAAATTATTTGGTGTGACATAGAAATGACATGGTCAGGTCACTGGTGAACGCAATGACGTTAAAAGTGACAACTTAGTTATGTCATTATTTTAGAATATTTGATATGGGTAGACAGAACAAGTATCGAGCTACTGACAGATTTATATTTGAAATACTTTTTTCGAAACTGTGTTAAATAATTTGGGATTTACATAAATTACTTTTGTTAAATCTTTGTGAGAGCAGGTTTGCAAGTGAGAGCGCCCTCTATAATTCATTTGCTGCTACCACATAATGCGATATTGCAAATACATTTATTATTGTTGACTTGTTTTTAATTTTACCATTTTTTGGTTAAAAAGTAGAATTCACTAAAGTAGAATAACTTTAGAACTCATTGTTTCCCTGCCAGGTTTGTAAACTTAAAACCTAGTGAAATTGCTAGAAGCATTAAAATAGTGAAATTAAATGATTGCACAGTATTTACAATTATTAACAACTGACTGTTAGTCCTAGCTATATATTGCCTGAAATAACATGTCTCCTGTCTGTCTGTCTAACAGATACAAAGTAGGTATGAACACACTAACAATCAAAACATGACCACAATCTTTAAATCTGCATTCTTACTTTGTATGACCTATAGAAAACGTATCACCCCCCCCCCACCTCTAAATTTAGGAGTACTCTCTAAAATGCATACAAAATGGATTTTGAGTGATTACAACAATGAAAATTATGTTTGCAACTTTAATAAAAGTATGACTGCTTATAGCCTGTTTTAATATAGTATGAATTTTTACATGAAAGCTCCTAATACATTACAAGTAAGGATTTACAATGGCCACCAGTCAGCCATATTGAAAACAAAATTGATGCCAAAATCCTTCTGAATGGAAATGTGAATTTAAATGGGGATACCTAGGTGAGCACAGACTAGTCTACATCATTATGTATAGTGACAGGCTTGTTTTGGAAACATGATTGATGACACAGCCTCGGGAAGGTTATAATACATACAGAAAGGGTCAGTCCATGGGTCAAAGTTCATCTACTTATGGTCATGCTTTGTTATAGACAGAATAGCATCATTGTTACCAGTGAATAACCAATGCAATAAATAAAAGAACACTAATCCCTTACCACATGTTGAAGTATAAATTTATATGCCATTACATCATACATTGTATGTATACGCGGTAAAACACATTTTATTAACACCATTTAAAAGGACAGTAATGTTGGTAAGTCCAGAAGCACTGGATATAGATAAGTTGAAACTTTATTGAAATGATGAATAATGATGACGATTAAAATATTTTGTATACCAACTCACCCCCACTCCTTGTTTTTGAAATAGTAATCAGCCAAGAGATAGAATAACTCTTTGACAACATGCCTAGAAATAGAAAAAAAACAAGCATGCATTTCACAATGTCAATATCGAATAATTGTATGAATAAATTTGCATAACTTATGTACAACTAAAAGACAAACAATTTATATTTGATTCAAGATATTGTTGTAATCACAGAAAGAGTGAGGTCATCCTCCATTTATTTGCTTTTTGAGCTGCCAAAAATAGACAGCGCAGCTTAAGTTTTTTTTTCTGCTTTTTAATAGCGAAGTGAAAAGTAAAAAAACAGATAGGATAATAAATTGCCACTTACAAAGTCACTGGTTTGTCTTCAGGTATCGATGGTGGTTTGTCTGAAATGCCTTCAATGTAAGCATTCACTGTATCCATGGTAACAGGTGGATCTTTCTGCACAGGAATCACTTTCGATATTTTTAAGAATAAACTTTCTAATTCTCCTGACATTGAACTTGTCTTGTAGCTGTCAAAATCAGGAACGGTTTTCGGTTTGAAATAGTCAAAAACGAATACAGCTTTACCCCATGTTAGAGGAACCTGAGTAAAGAAAAGATATGGATATGTT